CCTTAGACCCTGCTGCTTGATAGAGACCCTTTACTTTTAATTTAGAAAAAAGTTCCTCCAAATTATAGTCATTTTCTGAGACTATTTGAGAAAAGAGGAACTCCGTGGCACTCTTGGCTGTAAATAAAAACCTATTAATGAACAGCGACTAAAGGCTTTATGCGTTTCGGCCGCGTAGGGCCTTTTCCAGGGCATCTAACAGATTCTGAGACAATTTTTTAAAAACTAACTTTATAACATAAAAAAGCTTTATTTAACTCGCTTTCCATGTAATGAATCTGTCATGTACCAGTTTCACATTTAGAGTTGAACTGAAAAAGCAAGAACTATTTATTCTAGTTTCCCCGAGTTTCACCTGAACTTTACAGAAATGTTTCTTTTCTGTGGGAAAAACAAACAAATATCTGCAGTTGTTCATTAAAACTGAAAGGATTTTTTTGACAATCTAAAGTAATACGGCAGCTGAGCCAGAATAATAATTGGAGAAAAATACATGTTTTCTCTTCTGCAAGAACAAAGAAATCGCAAATTCAGGCAGAACAATGAGCTTAATAGCAACCATCTGAGGCAAAGCTGTGAATGGGTCAGTAATAGTGTGCGTATTCAAATCAGGAAAATCTCAAATAAAGGAAAATTAATGTCGTAATTATAAGCTTTGTGTCAAGATAAAACACAGAGTCGGAGAGTTAAAACACCAAAAAATAGAGGACCCTGATGTGTCCGAAAAAGATAATTGTATAAAACAAATTTTAGGTCTCGATAGGGGTGAAGAAGAAAATGTATATAAATGTATTTATGTCTAACAACTGAATCGTGTATGAACCCGAAAAGTATATATATAATTGAATGGAATAACGACACCACTGGGACTTTTCTCTGCTCTGCGATTTTCCTGATTGTCTAACGTCCTCTGTATCGCTGCTGTGTATTTTTGTGCCACTTTTTTCCGCATTTGCGCCGGAGCGGCCCTTTCTGCTTCTCCTGCTCTGCACCTGCTGGCATGGCGCCTTAACGAAGACTATTTCCTCAGCCCTGCACCTGACAGCATGGCAGCTAACGAAGATTACAGACATAATTCGACGCCACCCATATTTCAGTTCAGCGAATGTGCACCCAGAATCCACGGCCTCCAACACCGTCAGACCACAGACTGTAGGAGTGGAAAGAGTAGCACACACACTTAAAAAAATCATACACTATAAAGTAATAAATGCTTGAATCAAGTGTTTTTATCTTATCTTGATGATAATTTGACTTTCTTAAAACATTTATGCTAATGGAACAAGCCGTTTAGTCTTATTTCAAGGAAGACATATCTTGAATTTTCTTGTGTCTTTCTAAAACACGGCATGTTTGCTTGTCCCATTGGCAAATCTAGTTTTTAGACAGTAAAAACAAGCTCATATCAAGATCAAAATACTTAATTCAAGCATTTGTTACCTTGCCTAAATGGCTGAGTACTACATTTATTTGGAAGAGGCATGAAGTTCAAACAGGTTATTTGTGCAAAAACGTGGAGCCAAATGTAAGTCAATTTTGCCGGTAGCAAGTTACCAACGACCATCAGGAGCAGTCTCTGTCTGCTCACTAGCTAAAGCCAAATTCTGCGACCGAAAGGCTCCTGGTTGGTCAGTTTACAAATTTACAAAACAATATATTAATAAAAAACACCAGGATCTAAGAGAGCACTCTCCATTCTGGATTTTAAAAGCCCAGAGTTTACTTTTGAATGTAAGTCAATAGAAACGAGAGCGAGTTGGAGCAAGAGAACTTCCCTATTGGGCTTCGTTAAGCTAACAGATTAGCATTGTCCGATTATATATAGTAAGTATGGTAGCACATAACGTTTGCCTTCTAGAGTAAGACGCCAATTAGAGCTACACTACAGCAGGCTCCATGGGGGGTAAGATGGAGTCAAATTCTTGGATAGCAACTACTCAGCAACCAAAGAGCCAATCAGGAGCTGCACTAGTCTCTTTCTACTTGTGCTATTCGCTAGCTGAAGCCAAAATCAGGGATAGAAGGCTCCAGATGGGTCAGTTGTTAGGGTCTCTATGGGTTTGTGCATCCTGTAGTCAACACGGAATATTTCAATAGTTGAATTAACTTAAAAATGTAATTCTGGATAAAAATTATCTTCAAAATATAAATATAAGTTTAAGCTTTCAACCACTTTTCAGCTTGCATTACTTAATACTTTACGCTTTAGGCTACAGCTCCAAACCGACGCAATTCACAAGTATAAGTGGTAAATTATCATCACAAAAATAAATCAGTATTAAAAGTTTCCACAGCAGACGGTGAACCTGGATTTGAGGATAGTCATTAATCATCCAAATTCAAGGCATATTAACTCAAGAATTAATTGATTGCAGTTTATGAAGTGGGGAAAGAGTTTTGTGCACAAGACACAGCACTCATCAAAAATGTATTTCAATAATCCTTAGTAATGTCATGCATAATGCCACACGATCTTTTATCTTTTTTGGACATGCTTTTGTTAGTGACAAGATAAATCCCATTTTCATATTAAAACCTGTACTGTATACTCTGAAATGAATAAAAAATAATTTTTGGTTTAAATTTTGATATTTGGTAAAAGATTGTACTATGGACCGTATTGTATTGTGTCCTTAATAAAGGTTGATAATAATCATAATCATAATAATAATTGGCATGTGTTCACAAAAAATAACAATTGTAAACCGCTTTGAGACTCCGATGTGCAGTGAAAAGGCGGTATATAAATAAAGCTTACTTACTACTACTACTTACTTACTACAACAGCAGTCGTTTCGGAGAACTTTACAAAGGTGGTGATTCGCCAAAAACAGAGCAGAGAATAATAATAATAACAAACACATAGAAGCCAATGGGAACTATAGCTTAAAAATGTCCATAAATGTCCCAATCGTCGCCTTCCTGCATCAGCGAGGAGCACTCAATGAATCTGTGTGTAAATGTTTAGTGTATTTTTTTCATTTCGAGTTCAATGTACTGCAAACATTCATAATCAAAAGGCACCACATAGAATTTTCTAGCAAATCGTTCATTTACAATTACTTATTATTATTGTACATTCTTCAAACTCAAAAAGGAGTGGGAGGAAGAAGAATCATGTCGTGTTGTGATGCTGCTGATACAGACTTAGACTTTTGTTGAATTGTTTCCACTGAAAAGGGATTTAAATTGAACTTTTCCTGTGTATTCATTTATTCTCACCTCATTGTAAGAGCTGCTATTAAAGCTGCATGTATTTCCTTATATCCTGTTTAAACTCTGTGTCAATAAACATAATAAACATGCAAACATTTACACCTCGTCCTGTTTTTTTTTCTGCTGCAGAGAAGGTACAATGCAGGATTTGCCGACAGACGAAGGAAATGTGAAGAAAAAAATGACAAATGGTGATGTGGTCCTGGTTTTCAATTGTGACTCAGCAAAAGTCCTGTTTTATTCTTACACAACATAAGTGACACGACCAGAGTTCTCTCAGCGTTGGTTTTACACCCAGGCCAAAAACACGGCAGTTCCCCTGAGCATCTGCCACATCGCCAACAAAAATGTATTCCTCGACCTTCAGATAACCATAACACGAAGTGGAGAATCACAGACATCTGCATAAACTGTTGTCACGACTGGCTCAGTTTTTACAGTTCATCCAGAGAGTTTGAATGTGGATGTTATTTGGACAAACTCTAAACTTTTGTAAGGGATACATTAGAAATCAGCACTATTGTGAGTGTCATACAGTGCAATAAATGATTAAATATGAGGTAATAATTGCTTGAATCCAGGTTTTATCCTTATCTGAGTACATTCTGACTGTCTTTAAACAGGATAGAAAACCATTTAGTCAAATTTCAAGAACTGTTTTCTCATTTCAAGGGAGACATTTCATTAAAACAAGAGAATTTAGCTTGTCCCATTCGCAAATCTCGTTTTAAGGCAAAATGTGCTGAAATTTACATACATACATTTGGCCGATTTTCCACATATTTTTATCACTTTTTGCAGTGTACCCTCTAAACACTGAAAAGACATGTGAAGTTTGTGTGTTTCATGGGGCCTTTAATATCAAGTCCAATATCAAGTCCTTTATCAGGCCGCTGTCATGGTACCTCTGGCTTTTTAATTACTGCTTTTGAAGCCCCAACCGGGCAAAACGTGTTATCAAAAGTGACTTGAACACTTTTTATCGAAAACTGATAGTGAGTGAGCAACATACTATGACACTATTGCTACTACAGTCTATAGGGGGCGCTATGAACCTCACAATTGTGCTGATTTGTAATTTAACCATCCGGGAGGCTTTGAATTTGACTTATGGTTGTATGTCTAAATCAATTTCATGCAACTCCTTTTCAAACCTTGCACTTGTTATTCTAGTATTGATATGAAAATACGTGTTGTGCAGGTGCAAAATAACAAGAATCGTGTGACTGTCTAAATAACAAAGTCATCCATTCAAACTCTTTGGATGAACTGAGAAAAACAAAATTGGACACAATGATTACATCATCAGACGTGAGTTCTCAACAGGTCAAAAAAAGTCATCTGCAGCCAATGAAGTATACATTATCAGCACGCCAGAGGAAATATCTTACACTGCAAAAAGTGATCAAACATGAGGTTATACATGCTCAAATCAAGTGGTTTTCCTCATAAATTGAGTATATTTTGACCTAAAACAAGATTTGCCAAAGGGACAAAGCCATTTAGTCTTTTTACAAGAACTGTTGCTTTATTTTCTCCTTCCAAACCAAGATACTTTTGCTTGTCCCATTTGCAAATCTTGCTTTAGGGCAGTCAGAATGTGCTCAAAATAATCTGCCAATTTTGAAAATGTTTTGACTTATTTTCATCACTTTTTGCAGTGCGTTGCTGAAAGAACTAGAGCCGAAAGCTTTTGTGCGTTGTTGTGTTGTCCTTGTTGTGTTTGTTGTTGTTATTTTTTGCGTTACGTGCTGCTTCAGTGCTCCTGCTCCTTGTCTCCAAAGGTCCCTTGATTGTGTGGACCCCGGGGCCCGGACAGAGCGGCGCTGTGGCCGGTTCATGTAAGTGCAACATGGAAATAAAGTTTATTATACAAAATATATATAACACAAAAACTCAAGGACAGAATATCATTAACACTGGGAAAAATATGAAGTGACTTGGTTTTTACATTGGTTTGATCACATTTATGATGGGTTAGGGTTAGGGTTCATTATCATTGTTCATTATAAAAGTATTCCCCGATAAGAAAATTCTCAGAAACATCTTGAAATTAGTAATGAAAGTAAAAAAAAAAAGAGATGGGTTTATTGAAATGAAAACCGGTGCAGTCCAAAATTAAACAAATCAATATTAACGTTGTCATTTTATTTATCGCGTGATCAATGTGCGTGGCCCAATTTACTTGTTTACTGTGGCCACTGTTAGCATTAGACAAATGACAGAAACCAGACAGAGGAACCGCCACTTGGGGAATTAAAGGTCAAAATAAAGTCTGAAAAAGGAATATGCAGAAGCTAAAGCTTATAAATGCCTAACTCAGTCAAGTATTTCACATTGAAAATATTTAAAACCCATAGTCAGCAAATTAAAACACACTGTAACACACATATAAATGGCTATTTACAAACAACAATTAAAAATCAGTCACGGCTAAAAAGTCGAGAGTTAGGTTTTTAGTTCTAGAAGTCTGCCTTCCCATGTTTTGTCCCGACTCTGGACAAGACAAAAAAAATACTATTGTTATGGTTTGGGTCTTCTATCATTTGATGCTTTGTAGGGTTTGAAATAAGGGGGTTTCTTTTGAGTTTCATTTCCTGTGCGTACCCCACCCTCCTGTGTTTCACCTGTGCCTCTGTCTGTGGAGCACACCCTGTGTCTGTCAGTCCATTGTCTTTCCTCATGTCTTGCTTTTCTTATTAGTTTAAGTTTGGGCCATTTCCCAGGAAAGACCCTTCCACTTGTGGAGGAGTTCAAGTATCTCGAGGTCTTGTTCACGAGTGAGGGAAGAATGGAGCGTGAGATTGACAGGCGGATCGGTCATTCTTCGTTCCCTTCCTCACCTATGGTCATGAGCTTTGGGTAATGACCGACAACGGATGATGATCACATATTTTTTTGATTCTTCTTTCATTTTAATCAACTACACAACTATAGATATAAACAGTGCGGTTCATAGGGCTCTTATAGTGTGAATGTTTTGGGGCATTTATCACACTTTAGAATAAAAAAAAACGATCAAAGCAAAAGCTCTATTCTCAGAGCCACATGTGTTGTTTGAACTGAAATAAAGCGTCTTTGGCATCGCTGCTCTGCTGGGCCTCGGCTCAAACACTCTCTGTCCAGGATCCATTTGGAGGTGGATTAAAAACATCAGAGAAAAACAAGTCCTTCGATGATGCATTCAAACTAAAGCCGTCTTTCAAGTTCTAAATATAGTCTGCGTTTGGAAGTCTCGTAGTTCCATTCTTTTCAATACAGAGTCCACACTTATGTCATGGTGTATTCCTGAGAATATATTTCAATTTAAATGCTAAACAAAATACAGCAGGACTCTTATTTTTGTCATAGTTGGCTTTAGTAGTAGTAGTTTATTGTATTTATTTGGTCATTATGTATATTACATCTCAGGTCAGATGTTCTCAAAGATTGCAAATGGTAAAAAAATAACTAAATTGTTTATATTAAGAACTTAATTCATTAACTTTGTGCAACATAATGCATGAATATACTTTCACTGCTGAATTTGGAAATGAACATCCAAATACATATATACAGTAAAATAGCTTTCAAACAGATACTCAATCAATTCAAATGTTGTCATTTTTTTCATTCTCAAAAGTGCAGTATTTTTGTGCGCACATCATGGCTGTAATGAAGTTTAAAATACAAACACTATTTCCAGGTTGATGTTGAAAATCAGTGCCACACATTAAAACTAGTTTAGACTTGTTTATGACTGTGTTTATGTTTATGTGGTTTTACTGCAAATGATCTGAATCTGAATGTGGAGGGCAGATGCTCGTTGCAACTCACTAAAATCTTGGCATTTCGTCCTAGGCAGAGAAAATACGAGAAATATTCCAACTTGCGATGGACAAAAAAACCTAGATTTATAGACTAAACTGCAACAATAAACGCTGACATTTAATTTTGGGTACAGTTCACGGTGACGGTGAAACCAAAACACATTTCCCAAAACAAATAACCCATCCCAAATGTAGACCTTTGAGCAGAGGATTGGGGGCATGACGCTAACGATGAGTGTTTCTAGGCTCAATAGGAAAGACGGCTGTTTTATCTGTTGTGTCTGTGTTAATGTGTCGTCCTCAAATAAAAAAAATTAAAATAAAAATAAAAATTGGTAAAGTAATAAAATTTTTAAAGCATGCTTAACATTATTTTGGGCTTGATGTGTTGGTCTAGATCGGGTAGTTGTCATAACACCAAATCATATAAGATGTAGTATGAAAAGGATGGCTCTGAAATATGTCTAATGTAGAATTAGATATTATAGACAATAGAAGGGGCTAGCGAGCGGCTGGGAACAAAAAGTGCATATGGCCGAAAAATGTTGTTGCAGGTGAAATACAGTACGACAACAAAAATTTTTTCTCAGTCCCTGCTTCTGTCAAACTCTCCGTTCTAGACTTGAGATGTTCAGGTTTTGTTTCTACATGATCCTGTTTGATCGATTTATAAAAACAATTGTATAAATCTATGACCTCTATTTAGCAGCTGATTTCCCATGTTGGCTCCCACGATCGGCAATACCTTATAGCAACTGATTTTCACACTAAAATCCAAATTTGGGACCTGGTTGTAGACATTTTTCCAGTATCACAAACTGAGCCTCAACTGTTCGGTCATGGTGATGTCGCACTCATTATGTCCACTGTGCTTTCAAAAGTCATGTCCATGTTTAGCACCTTATTGTTCTTGTTCTTCCAGGTTTGAGTAATCTTGAGTATTGTTTTGCAGTCAAGGCTGCAGTGCAAAAAAAAAATCTGTTTCACCTATCACCTATCTCCCCCCATATCTATGTAGTGATTATTTTAAAACATTCTGACTCAAAGTTATACTTTTGTATTTTTTTAACACTAAACAAATGGAGGCTATTTAAAAGTCTGTTGCTATAAAAGAATGCATACGAGAAGGCGAGACTTATCAGTCGAGTACAAGGGAAGCTTCTTCTATTTCTAAGACGTTTTGCATGACCAAAATTGTTAAGGACGCCATTTTGTCAGATTAGAACCAAAACGCTTCTGCCATTAATACAGTAAAATGACCAGTAGCACCAAAGCCAACACCAGCAGTAAAGCTTCCAAACCATCGGACTACTTGTCTTAAGCAATGTAAGTAAGACAACCAGTATGTCCCATTGGCCTCTCCGACCACCACCAACCACTCACACCAGACTCATTCTGGGCAATGTGTGAATGTCTTTACAACCACAGCCACCCCACTGTTGCACCTGGGGTCTCCCATCGCAGTGCTGACCAGACCCTGCACTGCGTAGCTCCAGAAGTCTGACGGGATCTGGCATTCACATGGTGGTAGAAGGGACGGACTGTTTCTCTGCTAGCTGAGAATTTTAAAATCTTAAAGGCATTTTAAACATTGAAATCATTCTGCAGTTGGAGTCAGCATCAGTTCAGCTCCAGTGCGATCTGCGAGGGATTATACACTTTAAATTGGCTTGAATCAGCTCCACCTTGTATTAAAGATGTATGTCGTTGTTCTTTGGTGTGTTCTGCTTCACTATGTATTTGCCCGATTTAAACGTTTGCTATTCTTTAAAAGGTTGTTCATTTCCAGAGATGAAATGTAGTTCTTTTCACAGAAACCAAAATCAGTAGAATAATCCTTTGTACACAGCAGTGAGAGCCACTGGTAACAGCCAGAAGACACTATAGAATCAGAATCAGAAGTTGTTTTATTGCCATTAAACTAGGATTTGGGTGCAAACACATATTTAAAGTAAAAAAAAAAATCGGGCCAAGTGCTTGTGACACCGACTGTTCAAAAGCTCAATTGTGAAAAGTTTCATTGCAAACGACAGCTCCGGCCTGCAACAGCGTCTCTCTCCGAAGGTTACACATGTGTTATTTTGGGCCGTGTTATTTCCAGACTGTTACCTCCGTGAGTTCAATCGGGTGTGAAGTTTCTGAAGTTCCACGTGTTTATCACATACAACACTGCAAAAAATGAAACAATATGAGGTCATGCTTAAATCAACTGGTATGTATCTTAATTTGAGCTCTTAAAGCAAGATTGGGACAGAAGTCTTATTTCAATAACTGTTGCTTTATTTTCTCATCCCAACGGAGACATTTCTTGTAGCTTTTTGAAACACAATCATTTTGCTTGTGCCACAATGCACATTGCTCAAAGTTGGCAAAATGTATCTTCATTTGAGCACATTTTGACTGCATTAAAACAAGATTTGCCAATGGGAAAACCAAAATGATCTTGTTTTAAAGAATGGCCCTTGGAATGAGAAATGTTACTTTGATTAAGATTAAAAAGCCTTGATTCAGGCATTTATTACCTTCTGTTTTGTTATTGTTTGCAGTGCATTGGCAAATCTTGTTTTGAGGCTGTCCAAATGTGCTAAAATCACGAAACATTTTGGCAAATGTAATACATTTTGTACTTAAATTTCATAACTTTTTGCAGTGATCATGAACACAGAAGTTCATTCATTGTACATAAAGAGGACCCTGTGATTTAAACTTGACCTAACGTGAAAAATTGACTTTTCTACGATTACATTTGATTTCCTTCTCATAGCACATAAGTTGTTTTTAGAGTGACTTCTGCATGCAAGTCCGTCATAAGGTTTATAATTAGAATGTGAGGAATCCGCCACATCAAGGGGAGGGTATTGGTTTGAGCTGAAAGGGATTGTTATTAGCATCAACTCTGTCTGTTCTTTGATGAAGGAGCAATGTCGTTGTCGCCGGTTTGCATCTGTGTACTCAGATGAAAGAAAAACGTAACAGAATGAATCATATCGTAAGTTCTAGCATTGCTCCACTCCATCCAGGAGAAAAAAAGTGCAGCTTGAGAGAGCAGATGGGCCAAGGATGTAAAATAATGAAGAGCCTTATTAAGCTTTAAGTGCTCCTGTCTCCCTCCTCCAGTCTAGACGAGCGCTTGGTGTCCTCAGGCTCCGGCAATGTTTAAACATTTATTATGAATGAAGACGACACTGGGATCGGTGTGTGAGAAGGTGAGGTATTGCGCGAACAAAGGGACATGTAAATATAAGCAAAATGGACAGCCACATCCAACAAAGCTCTTTGAGGAGCACCGCGGATGTGGGCATATAAATTAGGGCAGGGCGATATGGCTGAAAACTATATCACGATATGCAATTCATATTGGTCGATATCAACTATAAGAGTCTTTTTTTTCTAAACATAATAAATACAGTACATTGGTCGTGTCGGCAGCACTTGTTTATTGTCACGGGGGAATGAGAACTCAGACTGGAGGCATATGTTCACAAGCACAATGTCCCCTATTGTCAGTCCTGTTTTAGCTCCTGTTTTAGCTCGTGTTTTGGCTGTTGACCATTTTGCGGCTCTCTGAGAGCCGCACGTGCATCCAGACGAAAAGGTCCATCTCTTACAATACAATGTATACTTGTATAGCCCTAGGTCACAACAGAAGTCATCTCAGAGGACTTAACAAAACCATTGAAATCACTGACACAGGTCAGGACGGGCATCACCATTGACACAGATGCATATTTGTTGTTGCTGTTTTTTTTTGTTTTTTTTTGCATTTCCCAGAATGCTTTGTGGTTCATGCTTGGTCGTGATAGATCTAGAAGCCTCTGCCTACGTCTCCCAGAATGCTGTGCGCTTCTGACTTGGCTTTTCTTCTTGTTTTTTTTTACGGAGTGAAGTTAAACTTTTGAACATTCTATCGACCTCATTCTCTATTGATATTGAACACGTGTCTATCGTGCAAAGATTTCTTATAAGTCTAGGCCCTCAAGCGCTCACTTACTGGATTTTAAAGCTCTCTGCTTTTCTCTGCTCGTTCAGCTGTTTTTTAATACAGCTTGTGTTACAGATTACAATTCGTAATCTTGTGTCCTTCGGCAAGGCACTTTACCAACATTGTCTTGTGCGTGTGTGTGTTGGTGGTGATTGGAGAGAATAATGGGGCCACTGGTGTAGTTTGGCAACTTCGGGTAGGACTGTCCCATGGCAGCTCTAGGTACAATATTAGCGTACACTGCAAAAAGTGGTAATACGGTTATAATTATTATTATTTAGTCCTATTTTAAGAACTGAGACATTTCTTTTTTCAAGATTTAGTTTGTCCTATTGGCAAATCTTGTTTTAAAGCAGTCAAAATGTGCTCAAAGCAAGATAAATTTTGCCAAATGTAGAATTTGTTTTTCTTTCTTCATCTCTTTTTGTACCACCACTGTATGAGGAGTGAATGATAAATCTCTAATAATATAAAGCACCTTTGTGAGTATAATACTGGGAGAGTACACGATCGCCACAACAACAACACAAAGACAGAAAGAATGCACCTCAGCCAAACTTTTTCCGGTCAAACATTGCAGAGACCATAATTTAAGTGTTCCTGATAAAAAATAGCCGATTTGTTGGCGAGAGCGAGCCTGAGATCCGGTTCTGCCACTATCAACATTCATTATTTATCAACACATATATCTTACTGGTGGACAAAGTAAGTTGGCATTTACAATAGTTGTAAGTATCACTGCAAATAGTGATGAAAAATAAGTCAAAAATGGCTCAAATTTGGCAAAATGTATCTTCATTTTACCACAATTTTACTACCTTAAATCCAGATTTGCTTATGGGACAAGCAACATTATCTTGTTTTAAAAAGGTACAAGAAATATCTCTTTTGGAATTAAAACAGAAAGCAACAATTCTTGTAATGAGACGAAGTGGCTTTGTCCCATTGGCAAATCTTGTTTTAAGACAATCAGAATGTACTCCAATTAAGTTAAAATTTGATTCAAGAAATTATGTATCATATTTTGCAGTGTGAATAATACATTCTGCAATATTCTATCAATGATGTGATTTTGTTTTATTTCTAAATCTTTTGGGGAGCTACCTGGAACGGGGTGGCGAGCTACTGGCAGCTACGATTAACAAATTGGAGACCCCCGCTCTATGGTCTTTTGCCTTACATTGTATGAGGCATAAATTGTATATATGTATATGTACAGTATGTTGTGTATATCCCTTTGTGCTCTGACACTTTTGTCCCTGACGTGTTTCTGCAGCGGCCTCCAGCTCGGACACAGTGGCGCTGTATGTGGGCGTGGTCATCGCGGTCATCATGTGCCTGGTCATATCTGTGATCGTGGCGCTCTTCATCTACCGCAAAACTCACCGTGATTTTGACTCGGTGATCATCGACACGTCTGCCCTGAACGGAGGCTTCCAGTCCGTCATCATCAAGACGGCACGATCAGGTGACGCCATCGCAGACACAGACATTTAAGAACAGTAGAACTCTCTGAGCAGTCACTTTGACAGCTTTTTGTTTTGGAAGGGTCATTTCTCAGCTTATGTACATCGTTGGTCTTCTGTACCTTTTGTGTATCCATATGTGGTTTAGGTCATTATGTTTATGAAATCACCTTTTTTTTATAGGCAACTAGTTCTAACTTTAATTTCCAGAGCTTTTTCAAGGTGCTGGTTCTGGACTAGTCCTGGACTGGGTCTGGACAAGGTCTGGACTGGTTCTGGAGTGGGTCTGGACCAGTGGGGGCGGGTCCCAGCTCAAAAGTGGCCAAAATGACCAGCGCTGACATGCTTGCAATACCACCCTGGGCCGATGGGGGTGGACCCGGAATAAGAATTAGCCAATGCTAACATATAGCATCTCCTTACCTCTCAAACACGTCTTGACAGGATGGTCCAAAAGTTGGCTCTTGGCCCAAAGCTCCAGTCCACATGTGTGTCAATGCTGAGGGGAGTTAATTTTTTTGGACCAGTCTAGTTTAGTCGCTGTGGATTTTTGAAGTCACTTGTTTAAATGAATGGAGCTTGTGCCGGCTGACGCATGCGCAGATGCGTTTTTTCACATTTTCCAGCCCCCGCGGCCATTTTGAATCACTGGCCCATTAGTTAGAACGGCGGAGAGAGGCTATCTCTAACTAGCCGTTAATATATACAGTCTATGGTCTGGACTGGTTCTGGTTCAGAGTTTTCCAGCAGAGGAGAGGAAGTGCTGGTTACCCTAGATACACACTGTTTATTTGCAGCTATAGCATTTGGTAGCCTTTCAACAAAGTTTTTACTGTATTTTTTAATATGTTTATCAGTTTCAACACTTAATAAAAAATGAAAAGGTTTTAAAAATAATAATAATAATAATAATATAATTTAAAAACCCTCTTCAATTCATTACTCTTAACTAATTGACGGACCGGGACCAGAGAAACATGAGAGCTGAAGGTGGAGCTCGCTCACGTTGCACCCAGTGCTGTAGTTGGCCTTGTGTCTCTGTCTTTGTGGAGATGGAGATTGTGTCGCTTGGTACGTCCATTACCTCTCGCTCTCAGGAAGTTTTATTCACCTTCAACTTTTGGCGGTCCGTATGTTTTTAAAACTATTAGCCATTTAGTCTCTGTGTGGACAAGGCCGGAATATAACACAGAAAAAATTAGTTTAAAGAAATGGAAAAAACCTAAGGATAAATTTCTAAAACAAGAAGCACTTTCACTTATCAGTAAGAAGCTCATGGGTTTGAATCCCAGTCGGAACAGGGTCTTTCTGAGTAGAGTTAGCATGTTCTCCCTGTGTCTGCATAACTTTCCTCCGGGTGCCCCGGTTTCCCCTACCACTAAAAACATGTGCAATAGAATAAATCCTCCAGCTCCAGAAGTCCTTACCAAGCCGAGCGACGGTGACCTCTGCTCCTGACTTGTGGCTTTGCAGGATGGGTTTAATGCAGAAGACAAAGTTATCTATGGGGATAAATAAGTTTACATTACACTAAATATTATAGCTTTCTTGAAATCTCTATAGTTTATTTTGGCCCAAAGAACAATAAATGAGAAATATATTGTGTTCCAAAGATAGATAAAAGAATGATTTCAAATCATGTCTGAAACATCATTAAATTTATAATATTTTGGACATGAATATTTGAGTGTGCAATGCTTTCTAGTTTTTACGTGTATGAATAAAACATAGTCTGAAGCTCAAATCAGGGTCACCATCACCATCCAGTGGGAATTACAAAACCCCACTCAAGCCATTCACAACACGGTGCAATATGTTAAAGAAAGCAGCGGTATACAGAAATGCTTTAAACAGACGGAAACCATCGTTACAGTTCTGTGACAGAATCAACATGGAGCAATCTGCGAAGATGAGGAGACACATGTGTGAAAATGTTCTTATATTAGCGTAATATGTCATTTCTGCATAACACTGTGCCCTTTGAAATGTGTTGCAACTTGTAAAGACTCCGATATCGCTGTCATTCTCAGAAATTGGATGCATGACTCTATTTCAAACACATCTTCATTTGAAAACATAATTTGTCCTTGTCAACATAATCCACAAATGTCTGGGCTCAAATATTAAAATGGGCCTGAAAATCTGACTTCTATGAGATTAGTTTGACTTCATTAGTTATACATTGCGGATTATTGGCGGATTATAAACCAGCGCTGATTCTCTCTGGCCCTCGCTGTTGGATTTTTTTTATATTTTTCATATTTTTCTGCTCATTTCTATCGCTGCTCGGTGAGTTCCTAATTCAATTCCAGCCGAAACCGGTAAACAGGTTTATGACTGCGACAGGTGCGAGATGGTGGGGAGCCAGGAGTTGAATTTATCATCTCACCGAGGCAACCATTTTAAACTTTTGCCAAAAACGATTTGCACTAACGCGGGCCCATCTCCGCCGCTGTTAATTGCCCTGCCGCAGATGTGGTTTCCAATGTTTTTTAAATAATGAGTTGAAGACTGAAGTTATTACCTTTAGGGAGGGAGAAATTGGGTTAATCTTGAAACGGAACAAAAAACACGCACAAAAAATACGTTCCGAGGTCATGTTAAAAAGTGAAAGATTTAATGAAAATGTATCTTGCTTTGAGCAGTTGAATGAAATTGGGATTCCCAGTGGTGTTTGACCTCAGCTGTGAGGGACATTATATAAGTATATCTGAGGCTCAATATGGATCCAGTTTTTAAATATATGATGTCATTGGGTGTCTTCTAAATATTTATTCATCTTTTAACACTAAGACTCCCAGAAATCTGAATCTATTCCATACATATACCCCAGGAAGAATAGCTACTGTATTTTTCAGTTGCTGATGGGGATCTTAATCGAAACAAACTATACCAGAACATTCAAAATTCAAAAAATCTCACAATAAATGAGTTCACTCCTTTCAGTAAGTGCTAAAACTGGGTTATATAAATTCAAATACCGCAAACATACAGTAGTTGGTTGAAAGGCCACCAAATGCTGACCGTAAAGAATGTGTAACAGTGTGTTGCTATGGTAACTAACAATGTCTCTTGTGGAAAACCAGGCTGGACCAGTTCAAGTTTGTTGCCAAGAGATTAAAAATGGTTAAATATTAGATTCAAATGAATGGAGCAGTCAAAAATGACGGCTCTGGGGAATAAAGTTAGAACTACTCACATTTCAAAACGAAAAGATAATTTCATAAAAAGTAATTGCATAGAAATAAACTACAAATAGATACAGAAAAAGGCACAAAGTTAAGAAGACAAACATTTTTATTTTTTCTATAACCCTTCAAATTGTCTTATCTTGGAGTTCTAGTGTTACATAGTGATACATAGATTTAAAAAGACCTTTCAGCCGCAGCAGTTAATTGTCATAATGCATACTACTTATAGTGTTTCTCGTGACTCCCATAGACGCTTCAAATGGCATTGTCCTTTTACTTCATAAACAGTGGTGATAAACTATTACTGAACACTGCCTTTTGTGGTTATATTTCTGTCCTAAAAGTAAAATATCCTCTAAACAGAAAACAGAACTATATTTCTACCCTCTCATAACCCTCCCTCCCCGCTCTGACCTCTCTAGCAGACCAGCTGAGCGCCCCTCCAGACCTGACCAACGCCGCAGCCCTTTACCGCGGCCCGGTCTACGCCCTCCACGACGTGTCTGATAAGATCCCCATGACCAACTCCCCCCTGCTGGACCCTCTCCCCAACCTCAAGATCAAAGTCTACAACTCGTCCGGCCTGGTGACTCCTGTGGAAGACCTGGGCGTAGACCTGTCCTGCAAACTGTCTCCAAAGGTATTCACATCAAGATGGTCGCTCCCAGTCGACAACGTTTCTATGGAAACTATTCAATTGGTTCCAAAGATGGTGTCAGCCAATTAGCAGGATAATAACTTTGCAAAAATGTCACACCAAGAAGCAAAAATGTCTAACAAACTCTGGAAGATTATGAGGAGTTTTATTATCATTATTATTTAATAAAGTGCACTCACCTCCAAATCATTTTATCAAACTTGGATTGTGGTTAAGATTGAAATATTCGTGAAGAAGGATTGTTTATATCTCATTCCAAACCTGATTAAAAAAAAAAAGAAAAAAAAATGCATTTTCCACTTCCACCAAGAACTTATTTTGGACTAAACACTGCACATAAAAAAGATATCTTGTAAACGCTGGCTTTGCAGATCCATTATCATTCTGTTCCCTCCCTCAGGTGACCCAGTCTCTGCTGGACCACAGCGACACCCTTAACTTCCGAAACCAGACGTCAGCGAGAAGCCGAGACCCGTCCTGCACCGCACACGGCTCCTTCGGCCACCAGGGAGGACACCTCATCGTGCCCAACTCTGGTACAACACTCTTAGATTCAGAATAATGGGAACCTAAGACACCTGTGCACCATTGTTATGTGGATGACCTCACACTGTAGATATTTTCACAAAAGCAGAAATGTGTGAGCTCCACATTATGTTTTCTGCATTATATTTTGCGATGACATTTTTGATATCCAGTTTGTCCAAAAATCTTTATTTTGTTACTTCAAGATAGTTCAAGCATAGATATCAAGCAATTACCAAATATAATATTTTTTCATAGTCAATAAAAAACAACACAAACATTTCTCACAGAATCATCATTGTTAAACTTGTGTTGTGCACATTTTTGACTAAATTATCAAATTGATGAGACGTCTCATTTAGAATGAGAAAATGCTTCTTCCGACAACAAAATTAAAGTCACTTGCTTGTTCCAAATCCTTGTAAATACTCCAATCAAGAGACATGTACCCAAATTAAACTGATTTTTAAATTATCTTTTTTCCCTTTTTTGTTTGCAAAGATCTGAAATTATCGCTGTCTTTGCTATTTACTAAATACATCCACGGAATCTCTTTATTGTGTAGCTTTATAGATATTAAGATCCTTCATGCATACCACCGTGGGGAAATGTCAGTGTTGCATCACTACATAAAGTCGGAATGAGGAGCGCACAGCTAACCTTGCCTGCAAGCTGAATTCTCGCGGTATTTGTGAGTTCACAAACACTCGAGAATACATCTTGTACCGCTCCCGCTTACACTTTTCGAGTCGAACCACTGGGTGTGCGAGCCAATCACGCGCCAGTCTGGGGGTTTAGGGCGGGATATCCGGGTTTGACGAAAGCAAGAAGTGCCGGGCCGAAGCAAAACAAACATGGCTACGCAGGAGGACCATGGATGTATTATATTAACTGGATAGGGTATTACTAGCTTGTAGCTGAATAACTCACGTGCTCAGGGGATTCTCGCGGTACTGCAGACTGAACCAGACTAAATTCACGTGGGCCACCCAAAAATTTTCCCCATAGAACTCAATGCAAATTAAAACAGCTCAACCTCAGCTGACAGAGAAGCTACAGCTTTCATAAAGATCGGATTTTGTGGGGATTTTAGTGTCCCTTGTCATCCTGAACTTTTTTTCTTCTTAAATCCTTTGGTTTTGTTTAAATCCACACTTTAGTGCCACAAACTCTGCTCCTCTGGCTCTCGCTCTAACTCCCGCTCTGAGGAACTGCTCTGATTGGTCAGAGCGCGGCCGAGCCCCTCTGTGCACGTGCGTGAGACCTGGTGTGAGACCCACACACGCGTGTTTGACGCAACGCATTATGGGAGTTCATCCACTGCGCAGAACCGGGAGGACCAGACTATGCCCAAATACAGGCGAGTTTCCCATAGATCTTTGCGAGTTTCAGGCAACTTCCGCTAATCTTTCAGCCCCCATGCCGTCACAAAGCGCCACTGAGCACAACCATTCATTTGAATAGGGCGCCATCTTGGATCGCCGGGGCTTGAGGAGGACGGGCGCGTAGCTGAGGCTATCAAGTCAGTTTTAGCAGAATCTCCAATTTCTTTTTTGAAAGATGAACAGCGAGAGGCGCTTTGTGCATTTCTGGACGGCAAAGATGTTTGTGCATTTTTATCTACGGGTTTTGTCAAACCTTGGTAGGCGGGCACACAGCGTCACTTCGCCCAATCAGCTTCAAGTATTCTGCTGCTTATCCCTCCTTTCCCCGAAAGGATTCTCCGGGAGAAATCCCAGATTGATATCGCGGAGAACGCGTTAGAGTTCTACACAATCATCAATCTGGCTCTTGCCAGGTTAGCGCACAGCACAAGATAAATGAAAAAAACTCTACTCAAATCAAATCAAATATACTCTCTAACTTCAGCATGATAAAGTAAAACATCTCGCGTTTATTCATATTGCATACTTGTATTGTATAAAGAGACATGAGAGTCACCTTTTGCCTCTTTGGGCTGAGATCTAGTTGTGATCCTTCCTCATTCGCTTGTGTGAGAGAGAAGGACTCTGTATTGTTATGCTAGAGGCCAAACATCAATGCAGCTGGATACTAATAATGCACCGAAGGAACAAGCGTCACACAGGAACTAGGTCGGCTTAAACATCCACAAACCACTGCTACTGGGACAAAATAATGTGCCACGGCTTCAGAAACGAGATGTATTTTCTCTGTCTTTTGCCGTTTCCCCTCCAGTTTCAACTGTGTCCATGCTGCTCTAGATGTTTGAAAGTGAAAATATGATTTTGTAAGTGATTTAAGTGCTGTGGCAGAAGGACACATGAATAATGCACAGCTCCTGACGTGACACACACTTTATGTGATATTTCCCAAAGAGAGAGTGTGACTTCATTTATACTGATGATGGATGTGACCAGTGTTTCGGAGCAGACAGGAACAATGCATCAACGTTTATGAATGACGTCCACCGGCGAAACACGCAAAAGAGAAATGGGGTGTGTAAAAGTGAGTTAAATATAATGCATTATTTGTGATGATCATCGAGAGACAACATTAGCAATGAAGATAACAAAATAAATGGATTAGCATTATACTTGGCTGTCGAGCATTTTAGTGGAACTCGAAGTTAGTTGCAATTGTTATTATTAACCTGCAAGCATGAATGGTGGGGGGAATACTGGCTACACTCTCAGACTCCTGGATTTATAGTACTTGCTGGACTATAAAACACTACTTTTTCCAATTTTGTTAAACCCTGAGGCTTATACATAGTGATGCAGCCAATGTATGTACAGAGTTGAACCCAGCTCTATCGACTGTGGATCTCCAGAGCTGATGACGAACCACACATTCTTACTTCCCGGTGTGTTTATGTGAACAGCAGCGAGATGCGGGTAAATGCAGGGAACTACACAGGACTTTGTTTTTTATGTGAATAGGGCTATAGTCAAAGCAGGGTTTTTTAATTTATTGTGTTGACTAACTAAGATGTTTGTTGGAATGTTATATATATATATATATGTTATATATATATAAATATATTAAATTACCCGACAGGGTAACTGTAGCTCAGTTGGTAGAGCATTGGCCTTCAGGCCTGAAGGTCGTGGGTTCAATTCCCACCTCTACACCTTCTCCACCGACTCCCACTGATGACTGCTGTCGTTGTGTCCTTGGGCAAGACACTTAACCCCACTTTGCCCAAAGCCCCCACTGAAAGATCAAGGCTATGCTCACACTCAGAGAGCAGCCGTCCTCCTGTGGACTCACCACCTGCAGAGGGTCAGTGAGGGGCTGGTGCTATGAGACTTGGGTGGCATCTCTGATTGCCACCCCCCTGACCCAGAAATGGATTAAAAGGGTAGAAAATGGATGGATGGATGGATGGATTAAATTACCCTATTATTAAATAATTGTGTAAAGTGTTACATTACAACATGATAACCTAAAGCTTATATTCAAGTGCGGCTTATCTGTGGACAAAATGTACATTCTTTAAAATGTAGTGTAAAAGTAAACTAAAAGTTTTATAGTGGTCTGGTTTATATACAAGTGTGCTTATTTCTGGTGTTGATATGTTTTTTTTACTCTGTTCAGGTGTGAGTTTGCTGGTTCCCGCTGGGGCAGTTCCTTCAGGACGAGTCTATGAGATGTATGTGACAGTGCACAGGAAGGAAAGCCTCAGGTACACACACTTTTAAAGGTTTTTGTTCTTAAAAAATCCATATGACTTTAGCACAAGGTACGCAGAGCAGTCAGAGCTTTTTTGTCTTTTTCTTTCTAATAAAACCTCCTCACATTGGTAAAATGTACATGAAACTATAAGAAGAAAGAGACAGTGTTTCAAAACATCTTGATAGTAAGAACATAGATGTACAGTATGTATAATATGGGGTCCAAGACTAATCCTTGTGGAGAACCCAAAACAGATTTTAAATTTACCTCCATATAAGGGAACGTTTAAAGGTTTCCAACTTCAAACCGTTTCTAATTATTCAACTGAACTCCAAACAAAGAAATTGAATAATATATGATCAAATCAAAAGAAAAGAAAATAGTACTAACAGTAATTACCAATACATCAGTCCTATAGTATTCAAACTTGTTTCTGACTTTCTGGCTCTTGCGGTGCATATGAAGACCCAGTGGCCATAACCTCTCATTATTATGCGCAAATGTCCTCTTCAGTGATACAATAATAATATCTGCTAAGGCCACATCATACCACAGAGGGCGCCGTAGGTCATCAAGCACAGAGCACAGGGGAAAACAGGGGCAAAAAGTCACTATCATATGAATAATAAGTGAATAAGTGAATCTTAAATGCCTCAATGTAGAATGGTAAATCAATTTGGATGCTTGGGTTGAAATAGGGCAGGGATAAAGGTTCTATTTTAAGATATTCTACCGTCTTGTTTTTCTTGTGACCGCATTCAATTATTTTCAATCAAGTTAATGTTGCCTCTAAATCGCCTGGATTCAAAGGGACATTGTAAGATATGAAGCCCTATTGCAAAACATTCTAGCTAGTTGTTGTTGGTTGGTCTTATGGCACAGAGAAGTATAAAAGCATGGGTCCTATGTGTTTTTGGGGATTGCGTCTTCATAAACCTTAACATGTGCTGGAAAAATAAGTTCATTTCCCAATCCATTAAGTTATATTTAGCTAGATGTTGTAGCAGCAACAGATTGGATAGTTTTGAAAGAAGTGCTTTTGACAGTATGGCTTGCATAAGTGGTTGAGAAGAGAAGCAGGCGCTGAAATAAAATCCAGCTCTAATTGAATTTTACAGCTCAATTTAATTTCATTTCCATAATTTGTCTTGGCTGAGTCTCTGTGTGGGCCTTTTGCACCAATCGCCTTCATTTCGGCTTGTTATTTTGACACTTTTTTTTATAGCACTTTCCTCAATTTTCTTCACAATTACTCCCATTTTTCTTACACAGAAATCTTCCAACATTTACGTCCCGAGTGTTTTTTCCCCCCCGCAACACTCCACAGTTGCTATCGATCACTGTTAGTCAATGACAATTAGCCTCCCCCTGCTTGTGTATCTTTAATAATCTGGGCGATTTTCAGTCAACCAATCAATAATAAGGAAAAGAATATCACAAGGCATTTATTGAGTACCTTTAAGCTACCGTCTTTGGCATTGATTCATTTTGCTTCAATATAGCTGTTATCATTGTAATACAGACCATGACGTCAGCGCTGTTTTGAGATAATATTATTGCAGTGTTTGTCAAAGCGCTGATGCGTTGGTGGGTCTGTTATAGTGTAGGAGAGCAGGATCAATAGTCGCTGAGGTCCAGTGAAGGACACTGTCGTCTACATGTGTTTGAGTCAATAAGACAGCGGCTAAGGGCACATTGTAAGGACGCAGCAGGAAGAGCGCTGTTCTCCAATGATTATAGTGTAGGAGGGATGCAGCTTGATTGTCCAAGTTGGAGCATGTGTGTAGCAGAATAATTATGTGTGGGAAGTCAATAAATCCTTTAGGCGCAAAAGTAAAGCAGAATTGCCACTTTGAGCCAATGACTCCAGGACATATTCCATGCATTGGACTAGCTTTTCACATTTTATTGAAGCCAGATCCTGTAAGAGCTCTGAAGCTAAGCAGGGCAGGGCCTGGTTAGTACTGTGATGGGAGACCTCTGGGAACACCAGGTGCCACAGTGGGGCGGCTGCGGCTGTAAAATGCCAAACTGTTGTGGTGTCCTTAGGCAAGACTCTCCTCTCACATTGCTTTGAATGAGTCTGGTGTGTGTGTGAATGGTTGGTGGTGGTCGGAAAGGGGCCTCGCTGCTGTCAGTGTGCCCCAGGGCAGCATAGGCTATAGTAGTAGTTCATCAACACTGTGTATGGACTGAAGAATAATAAGCGCTTTTTTTGAGTGTCCAAAAAAACCGCTATATGAAACCAATGCATTATTATTATTATTTCTGACTAAACTGGTGCCTAAGTGTTAACTCATTGCCTGCCAGCCTATTTCAGAACAGGTACTCCCAAATTGCCAGCCATTTCTGTTGTTTTTTACTGATTTTTCAAGACCCACAGAATATTGTGTACTATGACTATCTGAAATCCATTCTGAAAGAATGGACTGTCTACTTTCATCAGCAAAAATAATTTAGTTTCTAGCTTGTTTCGTTCCCCTGTAATCCCCAGTCGAGTAGAGGGAAGTTTTACTGGAATCACCAAAAAGCTGAGAAAAAAGAGACACAACATGTGCATCTGGCTGTTTTCAAACCACCCACCTGCTGGCTCGATAGAATATGCTCTCAAGCTAATCCCCATATATATTAGATAGAATAGACATCTGGGAATAAGAAAATAGCGGAAAACGCAATTAACGTGTTAACACGTCAATGACAGACAATCTGTATATATGAATCGATCTTACAGTTAAAAGTAGATTCTTCAGTTCCTATATGGTAAAATATTCTTTAAATCCATTGACCTTATATACAAGAAACACAACTAAATCGTTATTGAACACTTGAAACGCCTACTTAAATAAATAGATACTTTATTGATTCCCCGTAGGAGAAATTTGGGTGCCTAGTAGCAGCAAAAAACCATCCTTCCATACCTACAAATAAATCACTCTAAAACAATAGTAATTTAACGCAACAGCACTTTAGGACACAGCAGCAGAGTGGAAGCCAGTGTTGAAAAACCTCAGACACAGGCTTGTTCATGAATTTCTTTCTCACATTTGCAGACCTCCAGTGGAAGACATCCAGACTGTCCTGAGTCCTGTGGTGAGCTGTGGGCCCCCAGGAGCCCTCCTCACCAGACCTGTGATCCTCACCATCCACCACAGTGCAGACAGTGTGCATGAAGACTGGCTGCTGCAGCTGAAGAGCCAGCTGCCCATTGGGGAGTGGGAGGTAAGAGCTGTCTTCTTCTACTCAGGGGCAGGTTGTGACACAGACCTGAGTCACTGTTCTGAAACTTGACTGGGAACTCTACATGAGCTCTGTGACACAAATGTGCGAAAGGGGAAAATTATCCTCCATTTTTATTGATACAAATATCTCTCACATCACCTGCCTTATCATATAGCATCAGTGGATGTACATGTACATGTTTTTTAACGCTGACAAATAGCATACAATGTTAAATGTATATCTGAGAAAAAGAACCGCCCTCTCCACTTTTTGAACTCATTTGACGAGCACTTACCACCAGAAGGATTGACTATTTGGAGGACCAATAGTCTTGATGATCAACCGTAAGTAGATAATCCTCAAACCCCAAATCAGTCATGTTAAACTCATGGGCTAAATATGGCTTGCAACATGTCATACTTCATTTTAACCATATAATTGAAAAGGTTCTAAAAGGTTAACTTAATTGTAATAAGAAGTTACAGATATTTTAATTAGTTTTATGTATTTATTTATTATTTTTAAGTATACAGGATTCAGTTGTTTGACCCTCTTACCCCTATAGAGACCTGAAATGGAGTGGGAAGGAGTAGGACTTATGAAATCCCACACCATACATACACAGACATTCACATTAGCTTTCTGGTCAGTAGCACAACTATTTTAACAACAACAATTATGTATTTTATTGTATACTATCATTGCTGTCTATCCTCATTCTTGTCTCCATATTTAATGATGTATGTCTTAAAATACATCCTCTACTTGATATTTGACCCAGTTCCAGAATCCAAACCCATTAGACCCATCTCCAAACTCATGTTACATACAGTTATTTGCCAAAAGACAAAAAAAAGATGTAAATAATAAATTAAAATGATTATAAAAGAAAATCACTTTTATACTTCTGGCCCCCACTAATTGATGTTTTTAAATATGGCCCCTGACCAAAATGAGTTTGACACCCCTGCCCAACCTGTTATTATTTATTTATTTATTGATTTTTGGGTTGTGACAGTACAACACATCTCTCCGGATCGTATTTTGGCATAATAAGTATAATTGGCATCCGTTCCCCCACATTCGCACTCACAAACACACACTCATTCATTCACCCTGAACTATTTTACATGTTTTTAAAAGGAATATTTGAAATTGTACATAAGAATACATAGACATGTAGACGTAACATACATTTTCCGAGCACTAATGCCTCAAAATCAGGACAATACATGAGAACTCAAACATGCAGGAAGCAATATAAATGTTATAATAAAGATAATGAAGGAGCTCATTATTAGAACAAGACCAATAGAGGGAAGTAAACCATGCCCCCTTTAAGTCCATGCCTTCAGCCTGGGTGTGTGTTGCTAAAATGCTTCAGTTGAATAGTTGAATAGTGAATGTTTTATAGATACGCACACGGCAGCAGAGAAATGCACCGAGCTGGAGATTAACGCACGGATTGGACAGACTTCCCACAACTGGATCTGAGAAATAACAAAACAACTCCACTATTATGTAACACCAGGCCTTGGATTACATTCACTGAGATAAAAGACAACTGAAGGAAGCAGCTATTGTTACATCCATCATTTGCTCTGAAAATGAACTGAATATACTTTGGTGTTGTTTATACACTGAGAGAAGTTACTTTACATGTTTACAGTTATAAGAATGATTGTAGACGTTGATGTGTGTGACCAGGATGCATTTTTATGTTTATGTAACCGATAATATTTCACATATCCTGGGAGCCTCTTTCTACCGGGACACTACCGAAAAAGCAGCGGCTCCAAAAATCTCTCAACATAAGGTTCCCACCCTCGACTCTGAGTTTTAGGCAGGGATCGCAGATACAAATAGACATAACTCACATTGTCAAAAACAACACTACTGCAAAATCTTGATGGCCAATTGCAGACGAATTAAGAGAGATTAAGATTAAGAGATCCATTATTTGTCCCACAGCGGGGAAATTCCAGTGTTGCATCATAAGTTACAGAACAGTAGGAATGAGGAGCACACAGCACAAGATAAATGCATAATAACTTTATAATAAATTATAATAAAATCTCTGTAGGAGGATTTTCCAAAATTTTAGGGAAGAACCGCCCTCCTCAAAGGGGATGCCTGCTAAAACTAGGATTAGGAGGTCTAATAGTCTAGATCAGGCAAGTCCAAACTAAGGTCCGTGGGCCAATTGTGGCCCTGTGTATTATTCCTTGTGGCCCTCTGTCTTGCTAACACGGAGTAGTCTTTAATCATAAGCATAAGTTCACGGTGTCATCAAGCTTGTGGGATGATTTTGTCATTCAGCCAACTTCAGCTCCATCATGGATAATTACAAAGCTCAGAACAGCCCGAATCCTGGCAATACAGTTTTTCAGTGTTGGTAGTCGGCCCCTGGACAAGTCTGGTGGACTAAAGTGGCCCACTAACTGAAAAGTTTGGACAAAGTCAAGTCCGGGGGCCAGATGTGGGGGGCCAAGTAAATGAATTTTCTTGGCACCCGGGATGACATGTGATTAGTATTAGAATCAGCCCACACACAACCCTAGGAAAATATTGGATTATTGTTTTAATGTTCAAGACATGGGTTTGCTTTTTGAAGGAAGTTTGTTTTTGTCTGTGAGCTTGTTGAAAAATGTTTTCACTTGAAATTACTGCCATACAAATATATTGGATTCTTCATTTAATCACACTCTGCACTCTGTTAGGTTTTGGTTCAATAGGTTGTATGCATTCATTTGTATATGTTTTTAATTTGGCCCTTTGGCTTTAGCAAATTTGCCCTCTGATATATTTGACTTTGACATCCCTGATCTAGATAATCCACCCGGAAAAAGAACATCCTCCCGTATCCCCTATTGCATACAGAAGCGGCAGGAGACATGTTTGTGGTTTTAGACTGAACTCTAAGCTTTTAATGATGAAAACAATGCTGTGAGCTGATGAAAAGTTCTATAAGACAGTTTTGCATATAAGTCTCATTAAGAAGCTGCACATCTATGGCTGTTTCTCTACAAATAGAACATGTTGGACAGCAGCGTGGCCTCCTGCTTACTCAGACCTGTTTGCATTAGGGAAATGAGTCCTGCCGATGGTCCACTCGTGCTAATGGACTGGGACTAGCTTAATACGCTGTTCATTTGTAAACAGCAGCGTTAGCACAGGCCTGGGCACAGTAAACACGGAGGAGGTGAAAATACAGCAGTGACAGCTGTTAAACTGAGAAGCGAGCCCAGACTTCCTCCGCCGCTGAAAGATGTATTTATGCAGTTTTAAAAGGATATAAAATTGTAAGGAGGATGTTTACAGCGGAGGAACAAGTAGTCAGTTTGTGTACAATAGTAAAAGTATAGTTTTTCAATATTTATGTTTAGGACAAGATGCTATAACATGATTTCTGTCTAATTAAAAACAATATTATTTTCTACACTGCAAAAAATGATAAAATATGTGGTAATAAATGCTTTAATACAGCGGATTAATCTTAATTTGAGCACATTTTGACTGTCTTAAAACAAGATTTTCCAATGGGATAATGACATTAAGTCTTATTTCAAGAACTGTTGCTTTAACCTCTCATTCGAAGTGAGAAATGTATTGTATCTTTGTAAAACAGGATAATTTTGCTTACAAGTCCCATTGGCAAATCTTGTTTTAAGGCAGTCAAAAATGTGCTAAAATTCAGACGCATTCAGCCACATTTGACTTATTATTCATACATTTTTGTTCTGTCTCTAACGCATCTGTTTGTCTCAGGATGTGGTGGTGGTGGGAGAGGAGACCTTCACCAGTCCGTGTTACGTCCACATGGAGCCCGAGTCGTGTCACCTGCTCACAGAGACACTGGGCACCTTCTGTTTGGTGGGACAGTCTCTGGTCCACGCCGCGGCCAAGAGGCTGAAGCTCGCCGTGTTTGGCCCAGTGTCCTGCTCCACTCCGGACTACCACATCAGAGTGTACTGCCTCGACGACAACCAGGATGCGCTCAAGGTAAGAACCAGAGATAGTATAAAATGTAACCTACAAAAAATGATTAAATATGATGATAATTGCTTGAATTGAGCGTTTTTTCTCTTAATTTGAGAACATTCTTACTGTCGTATAACAAGATTTATCAATGGGACAAAGCCATTTAGTCTTTTTCAAGTAATATTGCTTTATTTTCTCATTCCAAGGGAAACATTTCTCAAATCTTTACAAAGCAAAATCATTTTGCTTGTCCCATTGGCAAAGGAATGTGTTCAAAGTAAGCCACATTTGAGCAATTTTTGCAGTACTATGATAATATATTGTTAGATTTTCTCACTTTTTAATCAAGACATTGGTTTGTGTTGCTTCTTAGCTCTTCAACTGTGCAGGTATTTGGATATAGAAGAGGCATTCTACAGCAAAGAAGTGAATAGATTTACAGTATTTAACAGCAGGTACAGGACTGAAAGACTTCAAACTGTTCCATCCTGGTTTTTGGCATAGTTTGCAGCGTTACAAACCACTATTATGTGCAAAAATAGATCTGCTAGGAGAACCGTTTTTCCACAAAGCCAGAGAAAAAAAAAGAGCTGAAGGCTGTCAAAATACCTCACCGTTTTGAGTGTTGTTGATACGAGGCTTTTTAATATAACAGGAAAGCCACCATAACACTGGGACCAGCGTCTGTCCGTTTAACACTACAGAATAATCCAATAGAAAGCAGAGGTTTTTTAGCTGGAGCAATGTATTCTGACATGCTTGAATTCATATTCTAAACCCCGGGGAACACCAAATGGATAGCCTGTGTTTTCAAATATAGGAAGGTTTGTTTAGGAAGGTCCATCTTGTCTTTTTATTAGAAATATATAAAGGTGTTTGGTTCTTCTAATAACAGATGATGGTAAGTTAGCGATGTTATAACCTTGAAATGTTTTATCTTTATAAAATAAGATTACCTACTTATCACTCAACAAAAATATAAACGCAACACTTTTGTTTTTGCTCCCATTTTCCATGAGATGGACTTTTTCCATGAGATGGAATTTCAGATACACAATATTACTGTTTCTCTCAAACATTGTTCAAATCTGTCTGTATGTGTGATAGTGAGCACTTCTGCTTTGCTGAGATAATCCATCCCACCTCACAGGTGTGCCACATCAAGATGCTGATCTGACATCATGATTAGTGCACAGGTGTGCCTTAGACTGTCCACAAGTATCTGGTGCAACACCATTTGCCTCATGCAGTGCAACACATCTTCTTTGCACAAAGTTTCTCAGATTGTCAATTGTGGCCTGTGGAATGTTGGTCCACTCCTCTTTAAAAGCTGTGCGAAGTTGCTGAATATCAGTGGGAATTGGTGCACGCTGTCGTATACGCCGGGCAAGCACATCCCAAACATGCTCAATGGGTGACATGTCCGGTGAGTATGCTGGCCCTGCAAGAACTGGGACATTTTCAGATCCTTGCAACATTGGGCCGTGCATTATCTAACTGAAACATGAGGTGATGTTCATGGATGTATGGCACAACAATGTGCCTCAGGATCTCATCACGGTGTCTCTGTGTATTCACAATGCCATCAGTAAAATGCACCTGTGTTCCTCGACCATAACAGATGCCTGCCCATACTATAACCCCACCACCACCATGGGCCACTCAATCCACACGCCATCAAATGTGAGGGCATTTCTTTATCCACGGGCCACAGAACAATGGAATATATACTGCTGCTGCAGGAGGTTTCGGGGTCCGCGCTGAGTCTCTGCACTGGTCTCTCCCATGAATCTATACGGGTCTGCGCTGGTCTCTCCCATGGATCTATACGGGTCTGCGCTGGTCTCTCCCATGAATCTATACGGGTCTGCGCTGGTCTCTCCCATGAATCTATACGGGTCTGCGCTGCATGGTCTCTCCCATGGATCTATATGGGTCTGCGCTGGTCTCTCCCATGGATCTAAACGGGTCTGCGGTGGTCTCTCCCATGGATCTATACGGGTCTGCACTGGTCTCTCCCATGGATCTCTACGGGTCTGCACTGGTCTCTCCCATGGATCTATACGGGTCTGCACTGGTCTCTCCCATGGATCTCTACGGGTCTGCACTGGTCTCTCCCATGGATCTATACGGGTCTGCACTGGTCTCTCCCATGGATCTCTACGGGTCTGCACTGGTCTCTCCCATGGATCTATACGGGTCTGCACTGGTCTCTCCCATGGCTCTAGACGGGTCTGCACTGGTCTCTACATACGGGTCCGTGCTGCACGCTCCTGGATCCATACGGGTCCGCGCTGGTCTCTCCAGTCTGGTCCATGCGGTCTCTCTTCGGTCCGCGCTGGTCTCTGCGCACCTGTCTTTCCAGTCAGGTCTCTTCCGTCTACGATCTCTCCTCGGTCCGCGCTGGTTTCTGTGTGCTGGACACTCCAGTCTCTCCTCGGGTCTGCATTGGTCTCAGCGCTGGTCCGCGCTGGATCTCCTCCCAGGGTCCAAAATATTTTGAGATTAATCTCAAAACATTTGGAGATTCATTTTTAAATTAATACATAATATATTTTTAAATTAAGCTCATAACATTTTGAGATTAATCTCATCATATTTTTAGATTCATCTCATAATTTTGCTAGTTTGACTTTATTCTCATAATATTTCGATTTTTAAGTCAACATTTTATAACTTTATTCTCAGTCTGGCAAAACTCTTTGCCAGACTCTTTGCTTTAGGCCTGTTGCTGTTTCCTCTGCCGTCTGCACACGGCCCTGCAGTCCCTTATATGGGCATGAATGGGCGGTTACCTATGCTAAGTACCTATGCTAATGAAGCACCGGACACGCACGCTGTACTTATGAGGAGTTGGCATTCATCAATCTGAGAGAACAGCTGCGAACAATTCATTGGCTTACGAGCGCGTTGATGAATCCCACATAGGGTCTTCTTAGAAATCTACTTAAGAGCGACTTGAGAAGAAATTTAAGAAGTTTCTTATGAAGTTATTCGTGAATGAGGCCCATTGTTTGAGAGAAATGGGAATATTGTGTCTCTGGAATGAATTTTAGATCTTTAAGTCCATCTCATGGAAAATGGGAGCAAAAACAAAAGTGTTGCATTTATATTTTTGTTGAGTATACTATGGTCAGATTTAATTGGACAGCTAAAGAACCAATCGGAGAAAAAAGGAAGGGTTTGTGGCTATTTGTACACTGTATATGTAAACAACTATCAAAAGTATGCAACATGCACTCAGCTGTTTTGAACAGAGTAGTGTTACTTTACTTCTATAATCTGTATTAAAAACAATCCGTCACCAGGCAGCCGGTCAAAGTGAGGCTGCATCCAAATTCAGAAAGCTTACCTCCTTGTGTTTCAAAAGTCACCTTTGATGAAGCAGGGAGCTCCAGGTTTGATCAAGTTACATTTAATAACAATTGTGTTTACAAAGCACTAGTGAAAACAAAGATGCATGTAAGAGTGTTCAGACCAGTTCAGGTGTGAAAAAAACCAGTCCTTTTCTAGATACGTAGCGCGCTGATGTAAACACGTCAATAGACTTGAAATAAGACATCAGGCAGTGATGCATTTGAGTGCACAGGGAAAAGCCAGGCTAGTATTAGAAATATGTATGTGGACGAGTACAGGGGACTCACTCATGTTGTTTTCGGGATCAATACCCAGTCCCTTGCTGCACATGTTTTTGCTTTAGAAGCAGAAACAAAACTTAAAAGGAATCATTGTGCTTTTAAGAGCGCAGCGGAAATGCAATATTTTCTGCTGCAGCAGCTGAGCGTGTGTGAAAATCAAAAGCCCAAAGTAAAGTAAATATCATGTTGTGGCATTTTCAGAGCCTTTGTTTATGATATGTATGATGGCAAATGTATTAACCTTGACCATTACAAAGTTTGTTTGTTTGTTACAATATACTGGGTATGACGATAAACTGCATCCATCATGTCCTGGCGCCGGACACTGGAGGCCCCTGGGACATCTCCCCCGTATTGGCCAAGAGATCTGTTGGTTTAGAACTGCCACTGCACCATGGCAGCAGGTGGTGTTGTACCAGCTCAGGCACCTGCCTCTAAGAAGCAGAAGTGGTTGAATGACTTAACAGTCTCCCCCTGCGCCAAACTCTGCGGGACAGCGCCTGGTGGAACAGGCCATCGGGATAGCTTTCCTGCCGTCTGACCCCTTCCTCCAGTGGCCCAGAGGGAGGTTAAAGTACCAGCACAATGCTCTTATCTCCATAAACTCTGTACAGACCAATCAGCAACCCCCAAGCTGCAAGTGTCAAGCTTATCACAAAGTTTGAGTGGTAAGGGAAAGTTATGAGACACCTTTGAAAGCGTCCTCAGGTCGTCTCGAGCTGCTTCACTGTGGAGTGCACAGAGACGGCACCAAAACTCTGAAAATCCACAGAAATGAGTGCAATTTTGAACCTTCTCCATTTTCGTAATTTTTGTAATCACACCCATTGTTAAAATATGTTTTTTCAGCCACATTTATTTTTTTGCCACAAAGATCTGAGAATGAAAATGAAAGAAGAAACTTAAACAAATGTGCCTCGTCACACAAAGCATTCTAATACATAATCACAGAATACTAAAAGAGTAAATATAGAATCCCTCAGTGTTGTATACAGATTAATAGAACAGTTTTGTAGAAGCTTGTCTCAAATTTTCAGGAAGACTGATCCACATTTTAGCTGCATACATCTGAAATGCTTCCTCCCCATGTTTAGTTCTGACTCCAACCAATTGCATGCCTCGTGTATGAAACCTGCAGAAGGTGGCTGCATAGGTCTTTTTGGTTTGCAGAGCGCCGTGGAGAATTGTCTGCCCGTATAACGGACGTCTATATCTGTCTTTGAATTCCAGACTGAAAAGTGATACAATTATTCCATTGATAAACTGCGATGTAAGGTTACAGCGAGCGGCAAGGTTACAGTGATTTGCAAGCAGCGCATGCACAGACCTTTCCTTTTGGTCGATCGGCCTGGGGTTGGTTTGTTCTTCAGTTCCAGCGAGACCAGACCCAGGGCGACTCTTCATCACTTTGCATTCTTTATCAGCGTTAGGAGGAGGATTGGTGACCTGGTCTTTAGCCTCTTGCCTGTAGCCCACCAGCAGGAGAACCAGGGAGAAGTGCTCAGAAGAAAAGGTGAAGTGATTGATACATATAAACAATACAAGTTTTCGCTTTATCTGGGTTTTGGGCCGATATTGGTTCAGTTGGTAGAGCATTGGTTTTTGGGCCTGACAGCCGTGGGTTCGATCCGCCCACGATACTTCCACAGCAAAAGGTGATGAAAAATATGTAAAAAATTAGTCAAATTTGGCAAAATGTATCTTCATTTTCGCTTATTTTGACTACCTTAAAACAGGATTTGCCAATGGGACAAGCAACTCCCCCGACCCAGAAATGGATTAAGGGGAAGAAAATGGATGGACGGTGTTTTTGTTTAGTGCGCATCACCGTCAATTGAGAATGTAATTTTACCGTTTATCTGCATTCTTCATTGCACTGTTTCTAGCATTTTATTTCAAGACGAATACATTGACAGTAGTGGCATCACCATGAATATGGGTCTGAACATCTGCTGCTTTTTACATAGACAACTTATGTGTTTAAAGATGACGGATGATCCTAGAGCGTATCATAGGTTGATTTTTTAATTTTATTTTTTATTGTATTGAAGATTTGAAAAACTAAATCAATTACAGCTATTTTTCTTGTTTTTTTTTTCTCTTTAGTATTATGTTATGTAATGTAAATATGAAACTGAAACTTCCCCACTGTGGGACACATAAATAATCTCTTTTATCACACTGGTAATGTTTTACTGACTTAGAGGGACAGAATGTACTATTTTCATTTTTAAGTGACATCTACGTGTTGTATATGCACCCCCAGATAATAGGTCTTACGAATCCTATTTCACATTTTCTGAAAGATTGTAAGTGGTGTTATTTTAGATAATATGCCAGTTTGTATGTAACATTAAGCTGGTTTTGGCTCCTACCTCTGTATCTTTTTTAACAGCATTCACAAACAAAAGCAAGCACTATTTAAAGAAACCAGATAGAGAAGATAAGTAGTTAAATGTTTGACAACACATAGTTTGTACTCTTTCTTTCTAAACCCAGCAGAAAAGTTTGATCATAGTTGTACTGACTTTTTAAGAACACTAAGAAAACTAAGAATGCATTATACATACAGTTTCATTAGGTTTGAGATTTAGACTGGATTTGTATGGCTTTGAATGAAATCCAACGTTGTTTTGTCTAATCTATGTGAAATAATATTTTTTTTCTCAATACTGAAATGTGCATAAACAAAGGGAGAATGTGCGTGGTATTTTTCAATTTATCTCATATCATCTGCATTTTAAATCCCAACAAAGCTTTGAGGAGGCGTCTGCTCAAATTCATTCTCCTTTCAACTTTTTGAAAGAAAGGTTAGGTCAAGTTAGTCAAGAAAACAGGGTGCAAACAGTGTGCTGCATGTGTGTATATATTTGAAAGATAGACTTGATGCCAAAGGTTGAATAATTTACCCAGATATGAATCTTGACTAAAGATTTTCAATGCCATTTACTCTATATATATTCCATTATAAGTTTGTAAGCTCTCAGTCATACAGGGATTAGTCAAAGCAAAGGAAGGTTTCTCACCCATCATCTGTACTTCATAGCAGGTTTTCCTGAAGTGTCGTCCTTCATCTAAAGGACTTTTTCAAAGGAATTAAATCTCAGACCGCGCGTTGGAGATTTATAACCTATGGGTGTGGTTAGCCACACCTTAATCCTGATGCTAACTCATTAACAAACTAAAGTCTGTTTGATGTGGAAGGGAGCAGGTCTAACGACCCTGCTGGGGCTACACCCATAGGTTATAAATCTCCAACACGCGGTCTGAGATTTCATTCCCTTGAAAAAGTCGTTTAGATGAAGGACGAGACGTCGGGAAAACCTGCTAAGAAGTACAGATGATGGGTGAGAAACCTTCCTTTGCATAGTCCATTTAAAATTATTTTTTTCTTTTCTAACAGTTGCAGACACTTTTGGTAAATTCCAGAGTTGCAACAATAGACTGTTTATAGATGGAGAATACAAACCCCCAAGCTATTTTATTGAAGGCCAATAGGGAAGAGTTCATGGACTAAGTTTTGCTCCGACTCGCTCTGGCTCCCATTGACTTACATTACAACCTCCTTTCTCATTGACCATTTGTGTCACAGTCACCGTTTTCTCTGTGATCCTGGGGTTTTATTTTGATATTCTATTTGTGAATTAATCAGAGCAAAAGGGTTCTCAGATGAGTAGTGTCTGTCTGAAATGGTATTTTTTCATACTGTATGAAGCATAAAGCAGACTTTACAGTGGGATGTCAAACTGGTTCTAGAAAATGCCTAGTGCGGCTGTAAGTTTTTATTCCAACCAAGCAGGAGCACAGAGACCACATCCATGTCTTCAGGTTAAGACTGGACTTACTGGGGTGGAGTCTGTTGTGCTCCTGCTTGGGGTGGAGTCTGGTGTGCTCCTGCTTGGTTGGAGTGAAAACCTGCAGCCCGTAACACAGAAGGTGAGGTGTGCATTTGAAGCCCTGGGTTTATAAATGCAGCGTTGGCGTTTCAAAGGAAACTGAAACATGCATGTTTACAGGTGTGTGGGAGGAATGGATTATACAAGAAACGGTGGGAGCCTTTTCATTGTATCAAAGCAGTTAAACAGATGCACAGTCCTGAATAAGAATGTGATTAAGTATCTGAGATAAAGGCCAGAGTGCAGCTTGCGTGGAAGAAAGCCAAAAGCAAGAGAATCCATAACTGTTGCAGTTTATGCAACAAAGACAGTTTTGCATCATGTGATTATAGGCTTAGCAGGACATCGACTATAATCCCAGACTGCTCAAAATGCATTTACTGAGAAGCTCTTAGCTCTCTGGACGTTATCAAAAAACATGTCTTATTAGGAGTGTATTGTATGGATTCAGTCCAAATAATTGACGTGTTTAATCTGTGCGATGCAGAACAGTCTTTTGCAATATACGTGCAAATAAAGTGCTTTATATCAGTTTGATTGGTTCAGGGAGTCCAAAGAGGTCACTTTTTTATTGGGCGCTGCAGCAAGCCTAGTCTGTGATTTTGATTTACAAACACAACTTCAAGGCTTAGGAACAAGAACAACATTCACTTGACTCGTCCTTCGTCCAAACTAGGGATGGACCTTGAAACCCTGATTCAGACTTTTGGACCGGGTCCCCCTCTAAGTAGACTCTGACTCAACAGACTTGAACTCTACCTACAAATGGTGTGTGTCAGTCCTGCAATAACTCCTCATCTCTGGTTTTCCTCAGTTTCTCTTTTATTTTATTTTTATTTTTTTGAGTTTTTTGGTTAATGTGCTTGTCTTGATTGACCAATTGTTCGTCCATGAAGACTATTTTTTCAGATTTTTTTCATAACAATTGTTACTTTTGGGAAAACCAAATTGATTGAAGGGAATAACAGTATAACAGCCCAACAAGGCATAAGGAGCAGATGTAGGCCTTGAGCAGTGGCTTTACATCGGAAAAAACAAAATGATAAAAAGAACAGTTTATAATGCCTTCCGCAGAAGTGCCTAAGGTGATGTCTGAATAATGTATCATACATGTGGGATTTTCTCTGATGGTGGTCAGGATGATGTTCCATTCTTCGCAGTCTTTGATAACCTCAGATTCTGTTTTGTTACGTCCCATTCAAAGTTAGTGAGGGGTGGCTGTGATAGACATGCAGTCCTTAGACTTAGACGTTATTGATCCACAAGGGAAATTGCGTTGTCACAGTGGCTTGCATAATATTCCACAAAAAATAACAATCCTGTGTGAATGTGTGGAACCTGACCCATATTTTGTACTGTGGACCCCTGTTATAGCTGTATTACATCTGTATTACTGCTAAACATAATTGTATGAAGAACGTAACGTCTTTGTTTTGCCTCTTAAGCATGTGTCATTTATATCTCAATTGATGACATATTCTGTTCTTACGCACATCGAGACAAATCATACATAAAGCTCTGTCTCCTTTTGTTTGATCTGGAGGGACTTGAAAATAAACCATGTTCAGGTGCAATCACCGCTGCCTGGGCTACATTTCTCAATAAATGGACAATCACAGTTGAATCGAACCAACAACCCGTGTGTGTGTTTCAGGAGGTGCTTCAGATGGAGACGCAGATGGGAGGAAAGCTCCTGGACGAACCAAAGAGCCTCAGGTTTAAAGACAGCACTCACAACCTCAGACTGTCCATCCACGACGTGCCTCAGCCGCACTGGAAGAGCAAACTCATCGCCAAGTACCAGGTCACTGAGATACACTCTTTCTTTTGATCCATGTTCAGATCATCATTTTGTTTTGGCTTGATCCTTGCAAATATCAATTATTACTAGACAAGAGCATCCATTTCCCTGCCACAAGCCCAAAAAACCCCACAAAAAGGCCTCTTTGTTCTGCGTTTAGGAAGCGTGTTCATGCAAAATCAGAGACGTGAGATTAGTGAACCCTCGCCTTGACCAGCAGCAGAAGCGGCAGAGGCGTAGTAGGAGAGCTTTTCCTTTTCTCATCCACTTTACTAAGAGGGCAGATCACGTTTAGCTCCTTTTTCAAGCTCAGCTGTGAGTGTGGGTTCACGAGATAGGGCAGAGATGGTCAGATTACGCGGCTATCTACCCACAAATCCTCCATACTCAAAAGACGCTTTCCCTCTTCTGTCCTGCATGATTTCATCAGAAGGCCCAGAAGTTTGGCAATTCAAATTCAACTCAATTTGCTCTTGTGTAGCCCTAAATCGCAACAGTTGTTATCTTGGAGGACTTTACAAAACTGTTGATTCGCCAACACAGACCCAATGAATTAAAGACATGCTCAAACCTGAAAAAAATTCATTAGATTGTTTAAAAAATTATGTATTGAAGAAATATGTGGAAAAAAGGGAGTATTGGGAGAGAGGTGTAGGGTCGTAGAGTGTTGGCCTGTGTGTGTGTGTTTTGTATTGTGTAGGGTCACCATGGGTGGTAGTATTGTATTGCTGTTTACACTGTTCAGTTGTATGTTTGAGAAGTCTACTGCATGATATCGTTAACAGTGTATGTTGCTTCATCCAACCCCTTTTCGAGCGAGGTAAAAGTTATTTGTAAGATAAGATAGACTTTTTTGATCTCACACCGGAGAAATCTACTTGTCACATTTGGCACAGATTGAATCACTCAGGTTGTGCAAAAGACAGAAGTGTGCAAATATGTTAAAGGTCAAAAATATAGTCTGTGCAGGATATAATTATGTTCAATTAAAAAGGGGGCAATCGCAGTGCTGTTTTTTTCAGTCCTTGTGCATTAGTGACTTAAAGTGACTTATTGTGTCTTCCGATAGTGGTGGGGATAAAGTAACAGTAACAGTTCAACCACAAAGAATGCATTGATAAAAAAACACATTGGAGCCATTGGTCCATAAGGGGCAGATGACCAATGTAAGGTAAATGTTAATTCATAGATGTCAAGTGTCCTGGATAATCACCACTGTCCTTGGACCCTAATACCTGAATAACCATGTTTTTGTCGTCTTTTAGGAGATCCCCTTTTACCAGGTGTGGAGCGGTGGTCAGAGGAGCCTCCACTGCACCTTCACCCTGGAGAGACTCAGCTCCTGCTCCACGGATCTGAGCTGTAAACTCTGTGTGCGTCAGGTGGAGGGCGAGGGCCAGATCTTCAGCATCGACACCACACTGCAGGAGGTGAGTGAGCAGATACACAACTTAAACACACAAAAGACATCTCAGTCTGCTCGAGGTCATTTTGAGTGACACCGGTATGACCGTTTTTGCAACAGTGTCTCAGACCGCTGGCCCCCTGACCCGGTCCTGGGTACTGTGATTAAAATGGATGAAGAGAGAGAGAGTCTGGCATTCTTCACCGGCTCCCCAAGAAGTTTAAACAGATCGCCCAGATCCACATAGGCAGCAAAGAAACAGACAAAGTGGAACTAAAATGTGTTTTATTTAGCGGTAGTTAAGAGGAATGGGTTTAAATATGTGGCGTTTAGGGGTAGTCCGACACTCACTGAAATGCAACATTGTTTAAGCTTCATATAAGGATTCCATTAAACATATTCAATAATAGGGTTTGATTTTTGGGCCAGTTAATTTTGACATGCTCCCTCTTGGTGGTGTCATCAAGAGACATAGAAATAGCTTCCACAGTAAAAGTATTGGCAATATCAGACCACTGCAAACGCAATAACCACCTCATCGACCGGCGACAGCAAAAAAATCAAAGTGTATTCATTTGTATCATCAATCAGAAGCCCAACAAATACAAACGCTGGATCAAAGAAGTAATACAAATCAGGAAACGTGGCGCTGACACTATGAATCGTGATGAGGGCACACCGTACATTGGATCCCCTTCTGCAGCGACCACTGGCCAGCAGAAGGCGCAGTCAGCGGTGTAAAGCCTAGTGTATACTTGCGCGGCGCTGCTTACGTTAGCGGTTGCGGTGGACCTACGCAAGCACAATTTAATTTATACTCCTTGCGGAGTTTTGAGGAGAATGTTGTAATCGCACAACCAACCACATGATGGCGATCTCACAGGAGTTGCTTGAGATACCAAAGCAGTCTCATTTACGCTGCTACTTTCTCTTCTTCAGAACAAAACATGAACAAACCGAGCTGTTTGAGATCATTACACGTGTTTCTATTGTAGGTTTATGTGATAGTTCTATGGACTCATTATTTCTTAACTCATTTATCTGTGATGTTGTGAATAAAGACACAGTTCTTGTTGGAAACATAGTTATTATTAACCTTTTAAGGATCACGCTCCCTGTACAGGGAGGATTCAGTTATTTTTCATTTAACAGCATCAGTATTAGAATTCACTTGTGTCAATATAGTCAAGCTATATCTCTTTTGGAAGCTTATTCCCACCTCTAAACGCGTATTATGTTCAAATAAACATTAAATATAACCAAAATTAAGAATAAGTAGTCTAACTGTATATATATTTAAAATATATATTGTCCTTTCTTACCTTGTCATGCTAATATTCTGGGGCAAATCACGTCTAATCCACACATGTGTGCATTCGTTTTGTTCTTTAGGGTCTAGAGAATAATTATATCCAGTTTTTTTTTTCTTCAAAGTCATCTTTATAGTAGATATCCACTTGTAACAACATATTTGAGTATTGAAAGTTGCACAAACAAAAACAAAACCTGTTCTTTGCACACTGTATGAAGAGGACATTTTACTGTTTACCTAGCGTCACTGGGTCTGTTCGTCTTCCCCTAAGCCTCCCCTTCAAAACAAGACCATTCCCGGAGTTTTCAGTGCTATGGTTTGGAAGGTAGAGTAAGTTGAGTAAAACAAGCGCACCTAGCTTTAGCGCTCCATTCACATAGATATCTGTGCGTCACGACAGCATTGTCTTGACTACCATTGGCCGATTTGGATGTCAATCAAATCATCTTGTAGCCAATAATCTCAGGTTTCAGGCGATGTGTCGGACTTCTAGCTTCCTCCCACTGTTCCCGTCATATTTGAATGCGTAAAGAGGAAGACGGAGCCTTTTTCACGGAGAACACGCGCTATAAATATATAAATAATAGCTTTTCTGCAAACCTTTCAATAACTGGAAAAAATGCTATTTATAGCAAGAGTAATAGCCAAAAAATTATATACATGGATTTTTGATGTAAAAACATTGATAATTTGCATGTAAAACACTTTGGCACAGTTGGCACAAAAATGGACCACTTGTGCCGAATGTGCCCATTAGTTACAAAAAAGCCCCCAGCATCAAAATAGTTCCACCTAAAGGTCTAAAATTTCATATAAGTGTTTCCAACACCACAAACATCTGCTCTGGTGAGTTTGAACATCATACCATAAAGTATGTCTTCAGGAGAACCTTTTGAAATTGCCTTTTTTTTTTTTTGACAAAAAAAACTAACTTTGACTCATGTTTGAGAAGCTGTAATGCAGACTGTATCCTTCCTAACAAACTGTAACATACATTTTCAAAAACTAGAAGGTTTTACCTTTCAAATGAGGCCTCATAACACAAAATCAGACACAAGATGTCCACACAATAAGCATTTCCATTTGGGTATCATAATTCGAGAAGGAGCAGGCGAAATTAGGTGATCCTTATTGTATTCATCACAAACAGCATACAAAAAGTGGTAAATATCTGAGGCAAACATGAACAATTTATAAGTGCAGGAGGAAAGGAACAGACGCGATAAGCTACGAGTGCAGATTCAGACAAAGACAGGAACAGTGCAAAAGAAACGACTGCACAGTTTATAAGTTATATTTATGTTAGATATGCAACAGAACTCTAGTCCACAGTCTCCGCGTATATCAGGCTCTGCCATGAGCCCAAACTACTTTTCCTTTGGTTCCTTCGAAGCGTGAAGCAGTCTGCTCCATAGTGCCTCGTCCATGCTCCTGCAGCCGCTCCGTGCTTCCTTCCAATACACACACACAGGAACCAATCACAGCAGAGCTTCCTTGCGGCAACCCTTACGTAGTTAGAAAATGTCGATGCTGTGCGGCAGGCAACGTAAGGGCCTTGCGGTGACCAATGCGTTGCGCAAGTGACGTCACGTCACCTCCGTAAGCTCCGCGCCGCGCGAGTATACACTAGGCTTCAATGTAGGTTGGCTGGGTTGACTGCGCCTGGGAACAGCAGCTCTAGGTCCTGGATGGCAGAAGACTTTCTCCAGCTTAACCAGGACAAATCTGAGATTGAGGTCCAGAGAGAGAAACTTTCACTACAAACACAATATTCTAATAGATCATCACATGTCAGAAACCTAGTCGTAATTTTTGCCTCAGAGCTGACTTTTATGCCTTATAATAAAAACTTCACAAAAATAAGTTATCTTAAAATAGAGCCAGTCCCATTGTCTCTCAGGGCAACACGGAGACGCTGATGCATGCTGTATTGACTGTTGTAATGCCCTGTTCACTTCCCAAAAAAAGTAAAAAGTAAAATATTATACCGGTTTCACTGCATTTTTTCCTGTGTGTTTTCAGGATTAGTTTGAAGGTTCTCTTACTGTTTTTTTTTTTTTCATCTTTCAAAACATGCTTTTATTTTATGAACCTTCCCGGCCCCTAGACTCCTCATAGTCATTTCCAAAGTCAGGACACACACACAGTCACAGTGAGGCATCTATACCAGCACCTTCAACTCTCCAGGTCTGGAAGAAATAAAGTAAAATGAACATGAACTTGACTCTGGGTGAGTTCAGGTCTGCATGGAGGTAAGACAGAGCACAGAGAAGCCTCCCCGTCCCAGAGCTAGGTCTATAGTCGGCTACAGATTTGATCAATCATTCACACAGCGGTCACATAATGTCTGCGAGAGGAGTCTGAGGCCACAAGGTCAGTGCTCATCGCAGCTCCGGGAACACACGCTCTTCTTTTGTTTTGTTGTTGAAAAATGTAAGGTGTGAAAGAACTGCTACAGTCTGAGAACAAATATACATACAGTATATCTTAAAAAGTGCAAGATCGGCAGGAAAGTAAGCTGCGAAAACCTAATTCATAGCAGCAGTGGTCTCGGAGGACTTTACAAAGTTTCGGATCCACCAACAACGGATCAGAGAATCAAACAGTTCGCACACGGGAAATGCATTAATAACAAACACATAGGAGCCATTAGTCCATAGGGAGCGGGTCCACTGGCCATACATGTTGATAAATGTCAAAAGAGCAGTCAATTTGATGGATTTTATTTTTGGAAATGTAATTACTCATCTCTTGTGCATTCTTGGTCATCATAACTTTTGCGTTATTGTAATATTGTATATAATCGTTATATTGTAAAGGGCTGTAGGTGACCTTAGTCTGTAAAAATGCGCTATATAAATAAGATTACTTACTTAGTATCTTTACATAATTCCTTTCTATGTTTTATTTTATTTTACTTTTTAATTGTGAGGAGTTCCTTTAACTAATTTAGTACCTTAAGTACCATTTACTAATTAGTACCTTAAGTACCTTTTACAGTGTGTTGCTAGTTACCATAGCAACACACTGTTTGCTGTCAAAAGTTAGCATACGCCTTTATTTCTGTATTTCGGTTATGATTACCAACTTTAGAACTTACTTCGGGGGGAATTTCTCAGAATTCCATCGGTTTGAATGGAAGGAGTCAAAAGGACGACTCTGGGAAATCTGGGAGTCCTAGTGTAAAATATGGCGCTAAACATTTGTCATTCAGCCAACTTCAGCTTTGTAAAATGTGAATTGAAATTGACATTTTGTACAAGCTCAGAGCTGCTTGAATCCAGTCAAAACAGTTCCAACTCTCTGGGTTGTCTGCGACTCAAGTTAAAGTTGTGTTCCACTGCTCTCTCTATGTGCAGGAGGTCCAGAGCATAGACACCTCCCTCATGGACCCCTCTAACCACATCACCAGCCTGCAGGGCCCCGGGGCCTTCCTCATCCCCCTGACCATCAGACACAAGCTCTGCAGCAGCCTGGACGCTCCACAGACACGAGGCAACGACTGGAGGATCCTGGCACACAAACTTCAACTGGACAGGTACACAAGCACACACACATAACATACACACATAGACACAGAGAAACAACACACACACAAAGACATATAGACACACAAAAACACTAATGACATTACACTAATATTTCTTCTGTATTTCTGTTGCTTTTAGTTGTCCTCTTGCTCTAATGCGGGTTCAGGACTCTACCTTTATTGTTTTTTCTGAAGACATTTCTGGAAAAAGCTGGAAGGAATTGGATAGAAGTATGCTTCACACTTCCATCCAATTCACTCCTTCTTTATGAAGTTTTTTAGCCCAATTACTTATTTACATTTTGGCAATTAGACATTTGTGGAGGTGAAGACAGACAGCTTGAGATATTTCCCTACATTATCATGGTGTCTTGTTCAACACATTCCTTATCTGTGTCCTATGAAGCAGTGCCCAGTCTCAGATCCTTGGAACCCCCACCCTCCTTTTGTCCCGTGTAAAACTGAAATCAGGAGAAGCAGCTTTCTCTTGTTATACTCTTTGTCAATGTTAATGAAAAAGATATGATGAGAGAACCTTTATTTTTGTATATATGTATAAAAGTTAGTGCAATAATGGCAGAATAAATAGAGTAGATAGAGTGACATTCAGTGGACGTTCTGAAATTTAAGTATTGCACGTGATTGTAATAAATACAATCTGCAGATGGGAAAACATGTACAGGCCCTGCAGTTCTCATTGTACAGTCTGACTAACAATTATTACATTGATTGTTACCTTCAATTAATTAAGTAATCTATAATTATTATGTTTTACATTGTTACTTGCAAGTGCTGCTGATGTAAGCCCTAGTGGCATCAGGATGGGTCAAATACAGAGGACAAATTTCCCCACGGGGACAATAAAGTGCACATTTACTTTTACATTTACAAGTTTATTTTAGGAAAAGTATGATTAGTATAAAAAAAATGAAGCCTAGAATCTTATTATTAGAAGTCATGTTTTATTTCAGGGGAGAAAGCCGGTCGGACCTGGCAGACCCAAGCGTGTAGTGAGGGTCTGCTGGGAACGTCTCGTTGAGCCCCCTGTAACACGGACTTTCAACTCACACCTCCACGAGAGCTTCTCCCAGGTCCTGGCGGAGGAGGGGGACATTCAGATTCAGATTCAGATTCATTTATTTGCCATTTGCAGTAAAACCACATTGGAAAAACTGTGCAAGACTACCCCGGTGTGCACCAGACAGAGAAGACGACACACACCAGAGCTCTTGCCACGGCGCCATCTTTACGGCGCCATGCGACAAACAGTAGAATAAACAGCAGAGAGCAATAACATACAGTTTCACAGACAGTTGGATAGACACATTGTGCTTTGTATAAAGCACGGATTTTTTCTCGGGATGAGCACCTCCGACAGCCGGCCCAATGTGGCTGTCAGAGGGGGGCGGGGTCAGGGAGGGGGGTGAGTCGGAAACACAGTGAGGAGTGGAGGGGAGGGAGGGAGCAAGATGGATAGGTAGAGGGAGGCGGGGGTAGGGGATCCAAGCTGGAGACTGAATAGTGTGAGTTGTTGCAGATGGGACCTTTGTTATTATGGCCTTGGCCGAGGAATGTGAGATAAGAGTGGAGAGAAGGCACAGGAGGAGAAAACACATCGCCTCAGGGGGACAATATTAAATGCAATGTAGCAGTTAAAAGCAGGCAGATATTCTATTAAATCCAATTAAACCGAATTGCGGCGCCCTCAGACCCCGTACACAGGGGCAAATCCAAGCCGGGTCACAGAGTTCAAGCCTGGCAAACGATGTCATTCAATATTCCCTTCGAGTGAACGAGCTGCGAGGTCTTTTATCAACTGTTCCACCAACACCACTCTCCTTTGTCCAGACACGGCGCTCTCAACCACGACGCGGCTAAGCTCCTTGTACATCCCATCAATTTTGTCGGCCAGCAGGTCGTGAATCTTGCGAACTGCCATGCCTCCAAATTTGTGGTAGAAGAGGATCGCTCCAAACCCAAACAGGAGGATTCCCACCACCAAAATGCCAAAGATATATACGTCTTCCGAATCTTCAATGGACAGGGTCGACAGACAGAGGGGCTGAAACTTGTTCCAGCTGTCAAGAGTATACCCCGCTGGTGAAGTCCCGTCCGGGCCCACGGGCTCTCCAGACCCACGCTTACGTGTTGAAAAGATAGAATCAATTGCGTTGAGGGACCAGTTAATCATTTCCATTCTTGTTAAAGTTGTCTGTGGCAAAACTCCAGGAAAAAGACAAAAACAGGAGATAGCAAGCAGTCAGAAGCAGGAGCGGTCTGAGACACGTCTTTGCTCGACGGAGGCGGAAGTGAGTCCACATCGAGTCTGAGTGGACCATGTTCTCTTCCTCTATCGCTGATGCGGCAGCTTATAGCTGTAGTCGCAAGGTCTCTGGTGCTGGTCCCGGTGGCAACCTCCGAACCCGGTGGTGAACACCAATAGTAAGGGAGGCTGTCCATGATGGTTCGTGGGACTCCTGAAGCAGCTGTCCAGTACCGGTCGGCCAAGCGTGCCACAGCCCGGGCTGTTGCTGAGGCCAAAACCCGGTACTAGGAGGAGTTCGGAGAGTCCATGGAGCATGACTACTGTATCTCTTAGAGATTCTGGCAAAGCGTCCGGCGCCTGAGGAAGGGGAAGCAGCTTGTATTTTGTCAGCAACACAAGTATAGTATATACGTTGGATCATCCAGGATCGAGATCAGTACTTTGTTTCAATCATATAATAAATAATAATTTATGGGCATTTTATGTTTTACTGACAAATGTTAAAATAATAATTCCAGACACTTCTGGACGCTTCTCTGAAACCATTGCTTTAGCGTGTGGTGAGATACTTTAAGTATACGTTTTGACAGTAACTAATCTGTGAAGTAAGCACCTTGGTTCATCCAGGATGGTGAGAAGCTGATGCCCAGGTCCAGGCTCTTCAATTGTTCAGGATACCATCAAGGCCTGTGTACACTCGCACAGTACTGCTTACGGTTGCGGTTACGTTGGACCTACGTAACCATAGTTAGTGGTACACTTGCGCGTTCCCTTTTGAAGAGAATGTTGTAATCCCACAACCAACCATGTGATGGCGATCTCACAGGAGTTGCCGGAGAAACCAAAGCGGTCTCATTTACGCTGCTACTTTCTCCTCTTCGGAACAAAAACAATAGCGAAGCTGTTTGAGATCATTACATGTGTTTCTACTGTAGGTTTATGTGACTGTTCTAAACTCATCATTTCAACTCATTTAAAGCTGCACTAACTGACTTTATTTTTGTATTCATTACGAAAATGCTATCCATGTCCATGCAGTGCATTGGGATATACGTCCTTTTGAAGAAAAAGTAGCGCAGATTTGTACTGGCGTAACATAATATTTTAGATTGAGTTTTGATGAAACAAGGAAGAGAATGTGTTTCGGGTCGCAGATTGTGACCAATCACAGCGGACCACTAGCCCCCACTTTCGTAAGAAATCTACAGGTCCGTTAGCACAGACAGCTGAGTTAGCACAACAAGTGGCGGAGCTAACCTGAAGCTTCGTGTGTCTTCGTCACCGGTTACTGCTTACACAGCAAGACAGCCATCCAAAAGAAAGTCTCGTTCCTCCGCGCTTCCCGGTTCTATCGTTCTATGGTCACGGCATCCACGTGCAAATCCATGTCCATGGTTTATCCATATTGGAAGACGCTAGCTTCGTCAACAACAGTGTGTGTGTGGGGGGCGATAGCTTCGTGGGTGCGGGGAGGGGAGCAGAAAGAGAGAGGCCAGCGGGTCCGCGGCTTCAAAATCCCAAAGTCAGTTAGTGCAGCTTTAACTTAATAATATAGATATTATTAAAGTGCATTCAGCACAAACAGCAAAACAATAAGTGGTAAATATCTGAGACAAACATGAACAATTTATAAGTGCAGGAGGAATGCAAAAGACGCGATAAGCCACGAGTGCAGATTCAAACAAAGACAGGGACAGTGCAAAAGAAACGACTGCACAGTGGGTTTTTTTTTTTAATTATTATGAAAGGTAGTATACAGTATTCTTGCATTCAGGTCTCAGTCAAGATGTAGCCACGCAAGATAATGATAAATAATGATAAATAAGGAATAAAAAAAAAAATAATGTATATATATATATATATATATATATATAAATATATATATATATATATATATATATATATTAGTGCTGTCCAACGATTAAAATATTTAATCGCGATTAATCACATGAATTTCATAGTTAACTCGCGATTAATCGCAAATTAGTCACCCATTTGCGTGCTGTGTGCAATTGCTTTTTTTATTGAAAACAATGTGTAGTGTTATATTACACACTAACATTTGATGCAAAATCATCAATAAATGGATGACAAAATAAATAATTGGTAACAAAAAGCCCCTTCAATGTGTGTGTGGAGTGTGTGTGTTTATGGGTGTGGGTGTGTGTGTGTATGTGTGGGTATAGACCATAGACTGTATAGAAACATCATGGTGTCATTATGATGATGATAAACAATTTTTTTGTAAATTTGTTCATGTAAATACTCTATGCTGTTTCTCTGTTTACTTTCGGTATATCTATGACTGTATACTGTTTGCTTGTATTGCCTTTTTTATTAACCCCTCCCCCCCATCTCCCACTTCATGTCCCCCCCTCCTATGTGCCCTTCTGGGTTTCTTCTTTGGCCCCCTGTATCTCCAACTACATATTGTTTGTAATCTCTGTCTACAATGTATCTTAACTAGTCCTTTTCTTTGTGTCTATTTTTTTCTGTATATGTGTTTGTCTGCAATAAAAAGTAAAAAAAAAATTTTTAATAATTATAAAAAAAATTAATGGCGATAAAAAAAATGACGCCGTTAATATTGATTTGCGTTAACGCGTTAATAACGCGATATTTTGGACAGCACTAATATATATATAACCAAAAAGAAAGGATGGATAAAATGAAAGATTTGTTATACATATATACATATACACATAAGCGCATCTACCTACACATGGTTACATGGGCACATACA